GCTAGCTAACGTACTAGCCACGCACCGCCGCGGCCTTGTACCCCACGTCGCTCTCCTTGACGTTGTCGCCCCGGCCGGCGAGGGAGAGGATGCCCGTGATGAGAGCGACAAAGGCAGCCTGGCTCAGGAGGGGAGATGTGGGGAGATGTGGGGAGATGTGGGGAGATCTGGGGAGATCTCGGCCTAACAGGAGGCGGACTGCGAGTCTAGACTTTTCGGAACCTTCTCGGAACCTTCTCGGAACCTTCTCTACTGGCTAGGAGGAGGCGGTTGCGAGCCTGCTGTGCCGCCGCCGCGCCGAGCCAGCGGTGGGGCGCGAGCAGCGCCGCACGCTTGGCAGGAGGCACGAGGGGGAGAGCAAAGGCGGCGGCGCCCCCCGTCGCCTGCAGCAGAGAGGGGCAAGAGGTTGCACGAGGGCGTGAGTGGCTCGGGGCCTTTCCTCCGGAGTCCGTCGCTTCGCGTCGCCTGGCTCCTCACACACGAGGTGGTGGGGCAACGGGGGGGGGCGACCCTCGCGTCTCCACGTCTAGACGACAGGGGCCCCACGGCATTAAAAGTGCAAGGGCCCGGTGCGCGTGGGTGAGCGATCTCTCTCTCTGTCTCTGTGTGTGTGTGTGTGTGTGTGTGTGTGTGTGTGTGTGCATGCCTGGAGGAGGAAGAGAGCGAGCGCGACGATCCCGACCCATGAGTGCGCCGACTGGAAGTGGACCGCCCACCCCTTCGCCACCTGATGACAGGTAGGTTGATCAGAAACAAGAAGCTCGCATCGCAGGCCAGTGAGGGGTGTGAGAGGCGGACCTAAGGAAGTTCACACGCCGTGAAGAGACGCCGGTCGCAGTCTCCTCCGAGGGCCCGGACTGGCCCTTGTGGCCGCCTGTGCCGCTGCGCCGTCCTCGTGGACGAGCCACATGTCGATGACGCCGAGCAGGCCCGTCAGCGCCGCGACTCCCATCAGCACTCCGTGGAAGACCTTGACCTGGCGGTGGGTGAAGCCGAGCAGGTGCTCGTACGACCGCCACGCCGCCGCGGCGACGGGCGACAGGAAGCCAAAGGCGAGCGTCATGAGGAAGGGGTGGAGAGGGAAGGTCCGCCACGTCAGCAGCGGTGCCTCGGGAGAGAGGGCCTTCTTCAGCGTGCGCCACATCATCGCCAAGAGCGCCACGGCAGCAACATGAGTGCCGACTGCTGAGATGAGGACCCCGGGCCGCTTGAACGGGCCGGCGGACGCAACGTCGGGAATCTTGCCTGCGGTCAGCGAGGTGCGCTCGACGTCGTCCGAGCTGTCCTCCGCCATCAGGTTTCGTTGAGCACTGGGCGAGGAGTCTTGGAGCATGTCAACTAAGGCGCGGAATGAAGAAAATCGGTGGGCAGTACGACAAGACGTCGTGGTCGGCTAAACGCAAAAGGGCACTCGGCGTCCGTGTCGAGACGAGCGTCGTCTGTGACCTATCTTATAGATTTGGCGGAAAGGGAGGATCCTGTCGCGCGACATTTTGACCGCGCAAGATAAAAGGGTGGCTAAGGGCTCTGCCCGCAAGGCGCCCGCGTCGCAGACGCGGTACCATTGACAAATCTGCGATATACCCCCACACGAGCAAATAGCAAAATCCGAATACCGTGCACAAACTGCTGATGTCGGCCGGGCAAGCCATCAGCTGGTGCCAAGACTTTCGTAAAATTGAAGCCAGACCCCACCAGACCCCACCAGACCCCACCAGACCCCACCAGACCCCATACCCCACCATACCCCACCATACCCCTCATACCCCACCAGACCCTCATACCCTCATACCCCACCACACCCCACCATATCCCACCATACCCCTCATACCCCTCATACCCCTCATACCCCACCATACCCCTCATACCCCACCATACCCCACCATACCCCACCATACCCCACCATACCCCACCATACCCCACCACACCCCACTATACCCCACCTAACCCAATATTACCCTATTAAACCTCACCAAACCCCTAACCCCCCACCATACCCCACCATACCCCACATACCCCACCATACCCCACCATACCCCACCATACCCCTCATACCCCACCACACCCCACCATCCCACCATACCCCACCATACCACCCCACCATACCCCTCATACCCCAGCATAGCCCACCATACCCCACATACCCCACCATACCCCACCATACCCCTCATACCCCACCATACCCCACCATACCCCACCATACCCCTCATACCCCAGATGAAGGACAAGGTGCGCAACAAGCTCTCGAAGCGGCAGCACGAGGACGAGGCGAGCTGGTCGACGCGGTCGTGGCTTTCGCTGCAGGCCCAGCGCATGTCAGTCGCGCTGCAGCTCGCGGCGGCGGAAGAGATTGCGACCGAGCTCAGGCTCGCCGCGGCGTCGGAGGACGCCGCCGTCGCCTAGACTCCCCTGCGTCACTACGTGCCTCCCCGTCTTTGTAGCCTGGCGTTTGTGCCCCGTTTGTGCCGCGTCCCGTGCCCCCGAGTTCATTTCATATAATCTACATCAGGAGCCGCAGCCATCCGGCACGCGAGCCCGCCCACATCGACAGAAGAGGCCGACCCTCGCCTTGAGCAGCTGGTCTTGAGGCTGTCTCAATCGCTGCCATCGGAAAGCACTGCAACAACAGCGCAGCCATGGTGGAGCTCGCCCGCCGCAGCGTGCTCCTCAATCTCCTCGCGACGCCGCTCGCGCCACGGCTGGCGCCGTCCGCCCGCCTCACCCTGCCGACCGCCTCCGGCGAAGTCGGGATGGCCGGCTGCGTCAGCTACCCCGATTGGCTGCTCGGCACGTGGGACGTGAGCAACACGCTGCAGCGCTTCGTGATGCCTCTCGGGTCGGCGCTGGTCGACCCGCTCACGCAGCTCAGTGCGATGGACGACCTGCGGAGGGACGAGACGCTGCGATATCTGCTGCGGTGGACGCGCGACGGGACGGGCGCCTGCGTGCAGGACCGCGCCTTCAATGGGGCGCAGGAGGCCGCGGCGTTCCTCGGCGACCTCGGCTCCGTCGCCGCATCCGTGTTTGCGACGCCTCCGGACGCGCCTCACGGGCGGCTTCGCATCGACTTTGAGCCTGACGGAGGCGAGCCTCATCGCCAGCCGCGAGATGTGGCGGAGGTCTAGCCGAGATGTGGCCGAGGTGCGGTCGAGGCGGCCTTGACGTGGCCGAGATAAGCCGAGGCGCGAGATCTAGCCGAGGTGCGGGGTTTCGCGTGCTTGAGCGTCTCCACGGGAGAGGCCCCTCTCACTTTGAGGGTCTGGCATGGCATGCACCCCTCCTCGAGTGTAGGCGGCGCGGGCGGCGGGCGGAGCGGCGGCGGGGTCGGTGGAGGGGGCGTCGGTGGCGCATCAGTCGAGCTGACCGTGACGTGGCAGCGGTCGGAGCCAGCCGTGGGAGGCGAGCACTGTTCAAGACCACACTTCAAGACCACACGCATCGGCGCCGCCGCTCCTCTCCCCGCCACCTCTTTCCTCGCCCCACTGCACCACATAGCCGCCGCTCCTCTCCTCGTAACCACCTTCCTCGCCCCACCATACCACACAGCACCCTGAAAAGGAGGGAGGGGCGGCAAGCCGCAAGTGCCCCAACGACCGCCAGTGTCTCACCACGCCCTGGTCCGCTCCCAAATGGCGCACACCGGCCGTGCATCGGTGAGGGGAGTGAGTGCCACAGAGCGTCGAGCTCTGCCGCCGCCGCCGAAGCGGTATCCTCGCATTCGACATCTGGGTCCAGGGCGCATGGCGCAGCGCATAGCGCCTCGTCCAGCACCTTGCCACCGAGCGACGCTGGTGCCAAATCAGATCTCTTGCTGCTCATTGACGCGACTGCGCTCCAGGCGACTTCCTGACCTCGGAGCTGCTCGAGCAGAGGGTGCGCTCCTCGCCCGACGCCGCAGAGGAGGTGATCCTCGCCGGCGGCCGCGACGAGTCGATATCAAGAGAGCGCCGCATCCCAGGCATCTGTTTGACAGGTGAGCCTTGTCGAGTCTGTCACGCGCTTCTCGCCGAGGCAGCGGCCGCGCGGCGGCGTGGCGGAGGTGCCAGCAGCGTCTCTTCTCAGATCGTGGGTGTGAGCAGGAGGAGGCCGGGCGGCGGGGTGGCGGAGGTGCGGGCGAGGAACAGGCCCTCTCGCGGCCTCCCGACAGCGGCCTCTCCTGCGCGGATCGTCCCACCGACGCCTCTCTCGACCTCTCAGGCTCGCGCAGTACGGCCCCGACGGCGGCCCCTCCAGAGGCCTCGCCAGCGGGCGCGCCGTCTCGTGCTTCGACTACAGCTGGGAGCTGACGCGCGTCGACGAGGCGGAGAGGGTGCTGGGCGGCGCCGACTTGCGCAGGGCGGGGGCAGCGTAGGAGGGTCGTGCATGGCGTGAGAGCTTGGGCCGGGGGCTCCTGTGGCGACTCAAAGCAAAGCTCCTGTTCTTCGGGGGGTGGCGCCTTCTTCTAGGCGTCCGTTGACTCAACAGTCGGAGTTGTGTATCCCCACTTTTGGTAAAGAACATACTCAAACGGCTGGGAGGCAGCCCAAACCCCAATCTGAGACTAAACTCAGTCGGAGTTGTGTATCCCACTTTTGGTATATATAAAGTGTACTCAAAGTACAAAGAAATACACCTTACGGTACGTGCTTTTCCCTCTCGGAAAGGTGTGTTTGCCAGCTCTTGCCAGCGCTCTACACTCTACATCCTCTACACCCTCCCTCAGGCCCAAAGTGCAAATAGAGCACATATATGTGACATGCCAACAGCAGATGGATGCTGACTCGGGGAGTGGAGACGTTAGTTAGACGGGCACGTACTGTGCTACTGTCACGAGGAGGGTCCGCGATTTCTTCACACGGCCACACCTCTCTAGAGTGTTTAGGATGTCTTTGGTGTTGGTGTGAATATTTCCATCTGCGTCCTCAATTGCACCAATGCAACTGGATTTCTTCACGCGCTGGCGAGGGAGGGAGAGAGAGTGAGAGAGAGAGCTCTTCTGGGGGGGACCACCCCCAGGAGCTGCTGCTGCTGTTACGTCTTCGGTCCCCGCGGGAAGCCCCGCGCATAGGACAACAACGTCTGTCCCACACACGCACACACAGACGCGCACATACGTCATGCTCGGGCACACCCCACAGTGTAGACCCCCAGGAGCCCGACGGATAAAAGTACGCCCACTGGCCACAGTTATTCTTTTCCTCTCGAGCCAACTACACTGCCGCGCAATGTTGAGCGCGGTCGACCAAGGCCGCCGGCCAGGTGCAAAATTCACACTCCGCACACCCTCATAGCCTAACCCGCCGCGATGCCTGCGCGGCCATGGTTTCGGTGCCGCAGCCCCTCTCACGCACCCGCTTCTTCTCCTGGACACGCGCTCTCAGCACATCCGACTGCGCCGCGTTTTCCATCTCCACAAGCCGAGCAATTCATGATTGCAGAGCAAGTGGCGTGTGGCCGCCGTCGGCCCGCGCGTGTGTGCCTGATGGTGGGGCTGGGAGGGTGGCAGACACGTGAGGGCAACGGCGCCAGCACCCCTCGCATCCCACCTCTCACACGGCCCGCCTCCTCCCGCTCCCGCAGGCTCCTTTGGACGAGCTGCGCTGCAGTAGTATCGGGCGCCTCCTCCCGCTCCTGCTCTCCCTATGTCTTTTGTGGAGAAGAAGGACCACTGGGAGTACGCGCGGTCGTTCCTGGAGACACACGCGGAGACCTTTGGTCAGCTCTCCGGCGGCAATCGGGCGCACCAGCTGCCGGTCCCCAAGCCCCTCCCGCAACAACTCGCGGCCGTCCGCGGCGACCGCACGATTATCCTGGCTCTCCACTACCCTCCTCCTCGCTCGCCCGGCTACCTCACCTCCACCGGCGACGCGACGGACGCGACCACCCGCCTGCTCGCGAGTGCCGTCAACAAGGCCTTCCAGGAGCACCACCTCCGTTTCGCCCAGACGTTCGACGTCATCGGCGACCTCTACGACGGGCCGCACGACTTCAAGGTCGACGGCAGAGACTTCAACTTCGAGACTCACTTCTTCGACAAGCTGTCGCCCGAGGAGCAGCGGGCGTGGTGGGAGACCAAGGTCGGCACCCTCGTCGGCATCATCGTGGACGAAATAGTGCAGCGCGGGCGCAAGGGCGCGGACGTGCTCGCCATGGGCGTGCTGCCCCGCAAGTGGTGGCCGGAGCTGCTCGCTGCGGCGGTGCCGCTCGCGCGCGAGCAGGCGCGCAGGATCCTCGGCCTCACTTACCCGCCGCCGTACGACATTGCGTACCCGAGCACCAGCGGCGGGCAGCTTCCCCCGCTGACTCCCGACGAGGAGACGGGCCGCGCGCCGTCCTGCGGCGACAAGGAGATCCAGCACCCGTGCGGCGCCCTGTCCTTCATGAGCCTCGACCAGCGCGCGCGGCTCGACGCCGGCCTGCAGTGGCTTCACCGGCACATTCTCGGCGACTCGCACGTCGTCTACTTCCGCAGACTCACGCCAAAGTTCGGCGACTACTCCGAGGCGGAGCGCCGGCGGGCGCAGGCGGACGCAAAGGTGCGATTCCAGGCATTTCCTCGACCCGCCACCGCCTTGTCTATCCCCGGCCGCCTCGGCGCAGGCGCGCGAGGGCGGGTTCGAGGGGCAGCTGCCCGACGAGCTCGACCGGCCGCCGACCGAGGAGGAGGAGAAGGCGATGAAGGCGGCGATCGCGCGCGCCGGCACCGCGCGCCTCTGCGGCGGCAAGGAGGCCGTGGAGAAGCGCCTGGACAAGCCCTTCGCGCAGGTCACCGACGCGGAGCTGAGCGCGCTGCTCGACGACGCCAAGGTCGAGAATCGTCTCCCGGACACTTCCTAGACGCTTCCTAGACACTTCCCGCGTCATCCCCGCACCCCGCAGACACTTCCTGGACACTTCCTGGACACTTCCTGGACACGACCTAGAGACGTCCACGCCCCCACGGCCCACTCTAGGCGCGGGAGGGCGGCTACGCTGGCCCGTCGCCGCTCGACCAGCAGCTGACCGCCACGCAGAAGAAGGCGAGGATCGCGGCGATCGCGCGCGCCCTGAGCATGCGGTCGCGGGGAGGCAGGGCAGTGGTGGACGCGGCGGCGGACGCAGCGGCGGCGGGCCACGCGGAGGCGGTGGAGCGGCTCAAGAAGATTGCAGAGCAGAGCAAGGCGAACGGCAAGGCGGGCGCCGACAAGCAAGGTAGCCCCCTCCCCCGCCCCTCGTTCTGCCCGCATGGCACCTCACATCCCGAGGCTAAGACTGCGCCCTCCCTGCTGCAGCCAAGGGGCCGGCCATCGGCCTCGTCTGGCTGCGGCTGTACGACAGCCCGAGCTCCTCGGGGGAGAAGTGCAGTGTGCGCCGGGCGACAGACAAGAAATACAAAGGGCGCGTCTACCATGGCGGCTACAACGCGTCGATCGCGGGCCTACGGGTCTCCTTCCCGCAGACCGGGCGGCGAAAGGGTGACATCATCAAAATCAAGGGCAAGGACATGGTGGTCATGATGGAGGACTTCACGCCATGAGTACTAGAGCACCCTCCGCAGTACAGGCGAGCTCTCAGCGAGGGCAGAGCATACGTACGACACAGGTCTCCCCTGAGTACAGAGTATTGTGTGTGGACGAGAGAGAGAGGCAGAAACAGAGAGAGCGGCTGGAAGTTAGCCAACTCGTGGCCTCGCCTGAAGGAAAGAATTCGCCGTGAGGAGCTTGGCGTCCTCTCCAAGTGCGCTGCGCCCGGTGGCCGTTTCTCTGTGTCCCTGATCGTCCTTATTGTGCAACTTTGCAACACAAGATCCTGCTCAGGTGCAGGTGGTGGGGACCCAGTCGCTGTCCTTCTCCCACCCCTCGTTTGGCGCGTCGTTTTGTTTATGGCCGTTTCTCGTTGCACGTAAGCTGTGAACAACAGTTCCTTCAGTCCACGACGAGTCCGACTCGGCCCACCACCGCACTCATGCCGCAGAAGCACCGTGGGGAAGAGGGCGTCAAGAGCAAGGGGCGCAAGAAGAGCGATAAGGCCACTCGTAATTTCGAGCTCCATGGGACGTACAGCGCAAAGCACCTCCGCCTGATAGAAGCCTCGCGGGAGCGTCAAGCGGAGGCGAGGCGCACAAACACGTAAGAAGCCGCAAGGACCGCCAAGCTACGATCGCATCAAGTCACCAAGTGGCGCTCGGTCCTGGGCTGCGACGGGCGAGCAGAGTGGCGCTCTCCCATGTTCCTTGGTCGAGCTCGCACAGCAGCTGCTTCGCAGCCCGCAGTGGGTCAAAAGGTTACGCGCGGCCACGGGCGCCGAAGCAGGAGCTCCGCGCTGGAGCTCGGAACCTGTCACCTCGGACACGGAGCCCTTCAGCTTCACGGGCCTCGGGCGCACTCAAGCCGTGACCCGCGTGTAAGTCTGGGTGTGCCGCGCAGAGCGGCCCGGATAACCACAAGTGGCTGTGTCTTGTACTTATGTGTTCCAGGGTTAGTAAATCGCTCGATCGCTTCGGGCACACAAATATGCGAGGTGCGCACAAGAAGCACAACACACACGGGCGCCCGCGCGCCGCCGAACCGCGACAGAGCCGGAGGGTCAGGGCCGTCCCATGCCCACGGCCTCTATCCGGAGCGCGCGACGGCTCACACTGGATGTGCGGGCACACAGAGGGAAGGTCCGCACCGTCTCTCTCTCGCGCGCGTCAGCTGGGTGCGGCGACGACGGGTACCGTGAGGCTCAGACCGAGCGAGTCGATGCCCGCGGTGATGACGTCGCCCGGGCCGACGGGCCCGACCCCTTCGGGCGTCCCCGTGAGCAGCAGGTCCCCCTCCTCGAGCGTGTGCACGCGCGAGACCGCCTCAACCAGCGCCGGCACGCCTGCGGTGCGTGGTGTGTGGGGGGCGCGAGTGAGGACCGACGCGGCGCAAGCCTCGGCAGGGAGGCGGCCTCTCGAGTGGCGTCCAACCGGCGGCGCGGCGTGAAGCACGCTATTGCGTCTCCCAGTCCCCTAGAGCCGCGCGCCAAAGATCATCAGACCGGTCGAGCCGCTCTGCCGCGGTGCCGCCTCGCCATTCACGCGGAGCCACATGTCGAGCGAAGAGGGGTCGGCCACTGCGGCCGCGGGAACCATCTCGCTGACGGGGCAGGACGTGTCCCAGCCCTTGGCCGCGGCCCACGGCTTGCCAGCCTTCTTCGCAGCGTCCTGCGCTCCGCGGTCAGTCATGTCGAGCGCAAGGCAGTACCCGCCGACGTGCGCCATCGCGTCGGCAGCCTTCACGCGCGTGGCGCGCCGCCCGATGACCACGCCGAGCTCGAGCTCGTGGTGCGTGTCGGTGGCGCCCGGCGCGAGCTGATGCGGCGCGCCAGAGCCGATGATGGACGAAGCCGGCTTGATGAACCAGAACGGCGCCTTTGGGACGGGGTTGTTGAGCTCGTGCGCGTGCGCGACGTAGTTGCGGCCGATGGCGTACACGACTCGCGTCCGGCTCCACCACGCCATGCGGCGAACCCGGAGCGATGAAGTCAGGGCTAGGCCCGCCAGGGTCGGCCTGGCGGCTGGGCCCGATTTTTTCTTTCGGCGTGAGACCGGACGCGAACAATCACTGAAAAGACAATCTCCCGGGTGAATAAATAGCGGACAGGCCGAGACAACCAGACAACCAGAACAAGTTCGAAAAAGAAACGCGAAAACGCACACGACCGATGGCTGGCGTAGGAGATGGCTGGCCGATCTGCTAGCCCTGTTCTCCTCGTTTTCCTCACTTCGTGTGCCCAGAGCGCCGAGGCGGTGGACGCTCGCAGCGTGCGCGCGCGGCCACGCCTCTCGCCGCGGTGCGCGGCTCCGGCGCTCGTCGCGGGAAGTGGCGCAAAGACCGGCCCAGCCGATGGCGGGCGAGCAGCCTCGCCCGTGCAGCAGCACCGCTCGATGAGCCTCGTCGACGCGATCGCAATCATCGGCGGCTCCGCCGTCGGCGGTGGCTTCCTCGCCGTGCCCGCCGTCACGGCTCCGCTCGGGCTGCTGCCCTCGGCGTCGGCGATGGTGGCGACCTGGGTCTACCTCGTCCTCTCGGGTCTGGCGTACGTCGACGCGGCCTGCATGTCGGAGGGCATAGACACTGACGGCGCTTCGGTGCTCGCCATCTCGAGGCGGTGCTTTGGCAACGGCGTCGCGGCGCTGTTCTCGCTGCTGTTCGTCGCGCAAATGCTGGCAATCGTGTCCGCGAACCTGGTCAAGGCGGCGGAGCTCTCCGCGTCGCTCCTCCCGCGCCTCCCCTTTCCCGCAGCCGTCCTCCTCGCCGCCGCCGGCTTTGGAGCGTTCGTCTTTGGCGCAGCGCCGGCGACGGTCGCGGCGGCAAACACCCTTCTCGCAGGATGCATGCTAACGGGCTTTCTTACTCTCTTCGCCCTCGCTGCCGCCGCGCCAGCGCCAGCGGCCGCCGCTGCCGTCGCCGCGCCCTCCGTGCACTGGGCCGGCCTGCTGCCCCGCCGCGGCTGGCCGATCCCGATCTTTGTCAACACCCTGCGGTTTGGAGAGGTCCGGACGCGGCCTCCTCTTCCCCCTCTCTCCCGCTCTCTCCCCCCTACCCCCTCTTTGCCGTCGGTAGGCGATCCCGGTCGTGTTGGCGCAGCTTGGGCACGGGCGGGGACGCGAGGCGGCAGGGCGGGAGGCGCGGCCAGCGGAGGGGGCCGGCGCGCGAGCACCGACGCGGCCATGACAGGCCCGTCGCGTGCGCCCTGCAGGCGCGGCTGGCGGTGGTGCTGGGCTCGCTGCTGCCTCTCCTCCTCGCGATCGGGTGGAGCAGCGCCTCCGCCGCCCTCGCGTCGCTGGCGTCGCCCTCGCCGCCGGGCGCGGACCCCGTCCTCGCTCTGCTTGGCTCCTCGCCAACACTCGCCACGCCCGCCAGCACTAGATGCTCTCGCGACGAGATGTGCTTCTGCTGTAGCCGACCGTCACCTCTAGATGCTCTCCGCTCCTCCTCCTGTGGCCAACCGTCAACTCTAGATGCTCTTGTGCTGCCATGCGATTCCGGTCCCGGGGTTGTGCTGCTGCGTGAGTGCGCTGCGCACCGTGCCACAGCTCCGTGCCCATCTCCCCATATCTCCCCATATCTCCCCATATCTCCCCATATCTCCCCATATCTCCCCATATCTCCCCACCGTGCCACAGCTCCGCACACGTCCTCTAGGCCGGTAGCCCTCATCGCCGTCGGCGCCATCGGCAGCACGATGCTGCCCGTCCTCCTCGCGTGCGCGGGCCTGCTGGCTGACGCGTCCCGGTTCAGATCGCTCCCCATATCTCCCCATATCTCCCCACATCTCCCCACATCTCCCCATATCTCCCCATATCTCCCCACATCTCCCCATATCTCCCCATATCTCCCCATATCTCCCCATATCTCGCGTCCCGGTGCAGATCGCGCTCCTCCTCCTCCTCGCCGCCGCCGTCGTCATCGCCGACCTCCTCCTCGCCCCGGCTCCTCGCCGCCTCGCGCGCCGCCGTCGTCGCCGTCCCGGCAGCCTTTGCCTGCCTCGGCCCGAGCCTATACCTGCGCCTCCTCGCATTCTCGGGCGCGCCTCCCCTCACCGGTGTCTCAACTGCTGCCCGACACGCCACCGATGACTCACAAGCGATCACTCAGGCGCGTTCCCCACTGTCGTCCTGTACGGCCTCCTTCCGCCTCTCGCCGCGCTGGTGCTGCGGCGCCGGCACGCATTCGCCCACGCCGCCGGCCGCGGCGTGCACTCGCCCACGGCCGCAGCCGTGGCCCGGCCGGGCTCCGCGCCTCACCCTCCGCCGGCGGGAGAAGCGAAGGGGTCGGCGCCGCGGCTGCCCAGCGCGTCGCTCGTGGGCCTGGTCGGCCTGTCGGCGCTGCTGCTCCTCGTCTCCGCCGGCGTCGCCTGTGGGGTCTGGCCGGGCTGAGCGCCGGGCGGCTCCGATGCCAAGGGACGCTTCAAATTGTGTACGATTCTTCTGTGTCCGTGCCTCCCTCCCAGTCCCGTGCCCTGTGTCGTGCGAGGGAGTTTGGAGTTTGGTGTCAGATGTGGATTGTGGTCAATCGGGTGTGAATTCTTGCATATTTTTTTAGCACTTTCATGGAGCAAAACTCTTCTCGGAGTGCGGTCTGAGCCGTGGTCTGACAGCTAAACCCGGACAGCGCCTGACAGTGCCCGACCGAGCCTGTGCCTGACACAGCGTTGACAGCACTTTCTCTGACAGCCTGAGACAGCACGTATCTCCGACCAGCCCTGTTCACGCGCGCGCAAGACGTGCAGACAGGGTTGCCAGGTGAGAGCGAATGGCGCGGTTCACGCCTCGCACAACAGAGAGAGAGATGCGCTCTGCATGGTGGGACATAAAAGAGAGCGAGTACTTGGGTGAGTAGGCCGTGCGGTCAACGCTGCCGCGCGCGACTTTGCGCGCGAGGCGGCGCAGCTTGAGAACAGCGGTGGGCGAGAAGCCGCCGCCGGTTGAAGTTGTTGCGCTTGACAAAACCATGAACCATGTTTATCGGGAAGGGGGGGTCTGTGACCTGCCTATTCGCCCGGCATGCGAGGGCATGCGCGGCCTTTCGGAGCCCCCTTCCTCTGTCGGCTTAGTACAGTTGTCAGCGCGTCTCCGTCAGGCTGGGCGTCCTATTTGTGCTCCCTCCCTCGCTCTCTGGCACTATCTATTCATCTGTGCCCAGTGTTGTGCGAGGGAGTTTTCTAGTAAAATTCTTTTTGAGCAGGGTTGCTCGGGTCGGGGTGGGGCGGGGTTGTGGGGTGGGGATGTCGGGGGGGTGGGGTGGGGTGGGCGCCGGAGTGGGAGTGGTGTGACTGCTCCTGTGGGCTGTGGTGGGTGATGGGGGCGACGGCTAAAAATATCCGATTTTCGCAAAGGCACCAGTGAGGGAGGGCGAGACGATCGAGGGGTCCCGTACCACGCGGAATCGACCCTATCCGGTGCTCAAGTGCTCAAGAAAAAGAAAGAATTCTCGCAACTTCTTCCACCAAAACCGAGAAACCCTTCGGGTCGCTCCTCATCGCAAACCCTGAGAGAGACCCTGTCAGCAGAGTCCTCCTACGGGAATGTACGTAAGAGCCACATACACTGAGAAAAAATTCTCCCTTTTCTCCCAGCTAGTTCGCACCTGTGTCGAGCCTGTCTGCTGTGAGAGAGAGTTCAATTGTTTAAATCTTAAGAATTCTCCCAGCTAAAAGTACTATACGCAGAAAAACGCCTTCCCACGAACTTTCCTGGCCCTGCTTCGCTCGCTCCGTCAGGCAGCGCCACCTCCTTTCAGAGCTTTCAGTCCACGTCGTTCTCGCCCTATGATGCGTACCGACGAGCCTTCCGGCCTCAGCCAGCCCCTGCGGCCTCAACGCGACCGCTCCGCGTACCGCAACTTTCTCAAGATGGCCGTGCTCTTCTCCATCAACCACGGAACCGTCGCGGCCGTGCTCAACATCAGCGTGCAGCTTCTCGGCGACGCGGGCTCGTACCAGTCTGGCGCGCTCTACATCACGTACGCGCTGACGGCGCTCATGTTCTCCTCCGCGCTCAACGAGGCGCTCGGCCCGCGCTGGTCGCTCGTCGTCGCGGCGGGGCTGTACTCGCTCTACGTGCTCTCGCTTCCGCTCGCGCTGATGCTGCCGCCCGAGGCGCGCGGCGCGCGCGTCGCGCTCGCGCTGTGCGGCGGGACGGTAGGGGGCTTCGCGGCCGGCTTCCTCTGGGCGGCGCAGGGCACCTACTTTGCTCTCTCTGCGCGGAGGCACGCGTTGCAGATGGACATCGAGCCTGCGGAGGCAAATGCAGAGCTGGCGTCCGCGTTCGCGTCGACGTTCCTCTCGCTCGAGCTGTGCCTCAAGGCGCTGCCGATCGGGCTGCTGCCGCTCTCGCACAAGATGGTGCACGTCCTCGGCCACGACGTCTCCTCCTCCAACCTCCTCATCGGCGCCCTCTACTCGCTGCTCGCCCTATCCGCCGCCGCAGGCGCCAAGCCACTTCCGAGACAGACGCCTCCACGACGCCTCCACGACGCCCCCAAGACGCCCCCAAGACGCCTCCCGGACACCTCCGAGGCACCCTCCCCCTCCTCCCTCCGCGGCAGGACTCACCCGCGTCAGCGACCTCTCCGATGCCGCGAAGCCGGAGGATGCAGAGGCGCCGCGCGATACGGCAGCGGCGGCCGCCGCCGCCGCCGCTGACGACGCCGCCGCCGCCGCGAACCGCACCACCACCGTCGCCGTCCCGTCGCGCTTCTTCTCGCGCATCGGTGCCGTGTGCGGGCTGTTGTCCCATACCTCCAGAGTCTCGAATCCTAGTGAGGGTTCGGTCCCGTGGGCGGTGTGGTAGGCGCCGTGTGCGAGTTGTGGGCGCGCAGGCCTGTCGTGCTGCTGCTCGCTCCGACGCAGGCGGCCGGACCCCGCCACTTCCCCCCGGCCCGCCACTTCCCTCGGCCCGGCGCCACTTCCCTCTCCCCTCCCCTGGCACGCCCTTCCTTGGCGCGCCACGCACCGCCGCGCCGCCGTGTCCCCCGCTCTCACGCCCTCTCTCACACCCGCTGAGACACTCCCGCCCTCCTCCTCCCTCCTCCCTCGCTGCACAGGCCGCCTTTGGCGTCTCCGCTGCGCTCCTCGGCTACGAGGTGACGGGCAAGCTCGTCAAGCAGGCTCGAGATATGGGGAGATGTGGGGAGATGTGGGGAGATATGGGGAGGTGACGGGTAAGCTCGTCAAGCAGGCCTTCGCCTCACCCTAGCCTACCCCTAACCCTAAACCCCCCCAGCCTGTCCTCACGCCATGAGGCTCGTCTACTAGGCCTTTGCCTACCCCAAGCCCCAGCCCCGACCCCAAGCCCCAATCGTTCCTCACACGCTGACGCGCGTCCGCCAGGCCTTTGGCGCCGACGCTGTCCTCGCCGGCTCGCTCTGCTCCGCCCTCGTCTCCGCCGTCGCCGCGCTGCTGCAGGTGTGCAGCGCCGCCGGGCCTCCCTCGACCCAGGGCCTCTGCCTGCCTCCTCTCTCCTCGGCTGCCGCCTCTACCACCGCCCGCCTCTTTCTCCAGGGCGTGCCTCCCCCC